ACCTGAGGGAGGAGGAGCGAGGGCGCCCATACCTGGAGGCTCCCGGGGCGGGTGCTGGGATCAGCCCCCTGGGAGGGAGGGAGGGAGGACCGGGGACCCAGGCCTGGACCCCAAGTCCCGAAAGGGAGCGGGATGGGGCTGCCTGGATTCCTGGTTCCGGAGACCTGCCTGGGAAGCCGGCCTCCAGGGTCAGCGGAGGGGAGGTCCACTCTTTGGGTCCTAAAAGAGGACCCCGCCCCCATAGGATCACAGCAGGTGACTGTGTCCCAGATAAGGGGGGACCCGAGAGAGCGGACCCGATACCGGTAGAGAGGAGGAAGGTCGCCGGCGGGGTGGGGGGGTGCCCTGTTCTGGGATGGGACTGAGACCCTTAGACAGGGAAGGGGGTTTTCAGGGCCGGGCAGGGAAATGAGGCGGTGTCGGGAGAGGACATTTCCAGTCTGCCCAGGACACAAGGTGGGGGCAGGGACGAGGTTGGGTTTGGGGAACCCAGGGGCTGATAGACTTGGGTCCTGGAGGGTGGGGCTGGTGTGGGAAACCTCACTGAGGCCAGGTCCCTCTGGAAGGGAAAAAGAACTGTCCCCTGACCCAGTTTGCTTCAAGTGCTTGACTTTGAGATTAATGAGGAGAAAGGCTGGCTGAGCTGGGGACCCGGTGGGGGGCTGGGGGTCCTGGTGCCCCAGCATGGGTCCCAGGCCCTGCCTGTAGGGTCCGGACCACTCCCTCTGCCCTGGTTGCTTCTGGGAAGTGGGTCTGGGGTTGGGAGAGCTTAGGAGGAGTGGGGTTGCTGGAACCTCAGAGAGAGGATGGGAGCTGTGTGTAGCTATTTGGGTCACGGCTGGCACAGCCCTGAGCGGCTCCTCCTTGCCTACTCCACGCCGCCCCCTCTCCCCACCGAAAGGGACGCCATCCCCTCGCCCACAGCTACATTACACAATCACAACCCCAGCCCCTCCACCCACACCTGGACCTCCCCATCCACACCCACCAGGGGCTCTGGGGCCTCAGGCACCTCCCTGAGGGCTCAGAGGGGTTCTCTTCACCCCATCCTGTGAGTCAGGTCATTGCCAGGACATGCTGGCACCACCCCCCAGGACATTCTCCTCCCTGGAAAAGACCACCTGGGGCACAGGTGGATGTACCATCAGGGACTCAGAGACACACATCATATACACACACCCCCAGATGTAGACACACACACTCATGTGCACATTAACACATATACACATGTACACATGTGTACATATACACACTCATGTACACACTATATGCACACCCATGCACACAAACTCTAGCTCAACATGCGCACTTGAATCACACTTACATCCATACACATCCATACTCACACATACCCTCCTGTGTGTATACACAAACACATTCACATATGCAAACACCTACATGCACACATGTACTAATTCACACTCAACACACTCACATGCACACTTGCTTACGAATTGACACCCTCACATACATCCTCATACACACACACACATACAAATGTTGACTGTGTCACTCATTCACACACACACACACACACACACACACACAAACCACAGATGATATTGAGCCTCCAGACTCAGTGTGAATGCCCACAGGTGTCTTCTGATCTGCAGGCCAGGGCACCTCAGTGTGCACACACCTCACACACAGGCATGCTCCAGGGTCTGTCTTGTGGCAGTCCAACTCAAAGACAAGCAGCCAGACTCACAGCCAGCAACACACACCGCACATGCTGCTCTCCCTCACAGACACACACACCTCCAGTTTAGGGGACACCCTCAAGAGCAAGGGTTGCTCCTGGTCCTGGTGCTGTACCATGTGCTGTGTGGCTCAAGGCACACCCTGCCCCACCCTGCACCTCCAGGCAGGTGGGATGGCACAGGTTGCTGGAAGCCCTGCCCACTGTGCCAACAGCCCTGCTATTCTGCAAGGTGGCTCCTGCTGTGTCCACGGTCTCTGCCTGCCTCTGGCCTGCCTGCCTCTGGGTCTTGCTGCATCTCTGCCCCATCTCTCTGCTGTTCTCTGTGGTTCTGCCTCCCTCCCTGCACCCCCCTCCCCCCGGCATTCTCTGTCCTGTCTCAGACTGGACCCTTGGTCTCCTCGTCTTCTGCCTCGTCTCTGCATCTCCCATCTTGTCTGGCTGTGTCTGCCCCCATCTCTGCTCTGCTCTGCCTTCCTCTCCCAATCCCCACCTCTGAGTCTTGTGTGCACTCACGCTGTCACAGAGCACCCCATTCTGCAGTTCCTGGGTGACAGACTCGTGCTGCGGTGGGTGCGTGAGCTCGGCAGCAGGGGAGAGAGCGGGGAGAGGAGGGAGGGAGGCGACTGCCCTGGCACAGGACTAGGCACCCACCTGCCCTGCTCCCACCGTTCCAGGGCAACCTCAGCAGGTCCTCAGGACACAGAGGCTCAGAGAGGGGAGGGCCCTTCTGAAGGTCACGCAGCCATGGAGGACAAAGCAGAGCTGGACGTCCAGCTGAAAGCAACCCAGGCCTAGGTCTCGGAGCCCCAGCTGCCAGCCTGGGGGGTGGCTGGGGACCCCATCTTTCCCTTCAAACCTAAATGCCTGACAGGGAGGGGTTCCAAGTCCAGGACACGCCGGTGCCCTCCAAGGCTTCATGTACCCCTTCCCAGGCCCTGTTGCTGGTGGCGGCCTTGGCGGGCCTGGGCTTGGGCCTGAGCCTCATCTTCATCGCTGTCTACCTCATCCGCTTCTGCTGTTGCCGCCCCCCAGAGCCCCCAGGGGCCAAGAGTACCCCACCGGGCGGAGGCTGTGTCACCTGGAGCTGCGTGGCTGCCCTCCTCGTCGGCTGGTAACGGGGACCCAGGGCAGGTGGGAGTGGGGCAGGGCTTCCCCATGATGGCAGGTCTTCATCAAGGCACAGGGCAGGAGACAGGTGAGGCCCTGCCCCCTCACCCTCCGCAGGGAGAATTCCCTATGCCACGGATGGAGGAGTGGAGCTTAGAATGGGAATGACTTTCCCCAGGCATCCAGCCTGGCAAGAAGTGTAGATTAAGGGCTCGGGGCTGGTCAGGTGCCTGGTTTCAGTGGCCCTCCCATCAGGGAGCTGAGTGAAGTGATGTGATCTCCCTGTGGCTCAGTTTCTGCATCTGTGAAATGGGTTTTACAGTACCACCCACCTTCTGGGGATGGTAAGAGATGGGAGAGTGCCCAGGCCGCCCACTGCTGTCCTCAGTAAGTGCTAACTGGCACTAGCGATGCCATTCCTGACTCATTAGCATCCAACAGCTGCTGTGGCCTATCTCCTGTGATGGGAGCAGCCCAGAGCCCTGGCCTGCCCGCAGGGACACAGGCCACGTGATCGCAGCCACTAATTCCCTCTCAAGGCAGCTGCTGGCTCTGGGGTTGTCATGTCCAGTTTAGAAAGAGGAAGGGTCCAGGAGGGAGAGAAGGCCATATTTCAATGCCACAGGTAGGGGCAGGGCAGAGATGACCTCCCAACCTCCAGGAGGGACCCAGGAGCTTCTTCTGAGAACAAGCCCTTTACCAAGAGCCAGCCCCTCCCTGGCAGGGACAGCGTCCTGCACCCCAGAGCTAGCCAGCGGAGGAGGCTGCTTGGGTGGCTCCTACAGCCCACAGGGGCGAGGCTTAGAACTTGTCCCCCAGCCCTGGCTCTGCTGGCTTACTTCAGGGAGAAGAGGGTGTCTGATTGGGGGTGTGTGGGGAGGCTGGGTGTCCTATATCCAAGACAGCTCCTCAGCAGGCTCTCCAGATGGGGGTGGATGGGGGAGGCAGACAAAGGCCCAGTGGGGGAGAGACACGGCCTCAGCCCCCAGGCCTGGGAACAAGAAGGGCTTTGTAGGGCTTTGAACAATGGGGCGGGGGCACTGGGCGCCCATCCCAGGGACGGGTGGGAACTGGGAGGGCCCAGGCTCTCGCCCCTCCACTGTGGGACACTGACTGGGGGCAGGGAATAGGTCTCAGACTCAGACTCCACAATGGAGCTCCGTGTATTGGCCTGGGGGTACCGGGCAGGGACACCCCAGCTCCTGGCCCGTCCTCCAGCCCCTCCTCCCACATTCCTCTCCTCCCCTGCCAGCAGGCCAGATGCTAGGGTTATTGGGTGGGGTAGGGGCAGGCCAGAGCTCCTTCGTGTCCGGGGAGAGGATGGTGCTGGGGGAATCCTGCAATCCCAGGAACCCCCAGGGGGCAGGGGCAGAGGATGTCTGGGCTCTATGGACTCCAGGGCGAGCTGAGAAAGCTGGACTCTTGAGGAGGATGGAGATGGGCGTGGGGCAGGTGGTCATGGGGAGGAGAAGATCTCTCACAGTGCTGGGTGTGCCCAGGGTTCTGCTCTGGGGAGGTGTGAGTTAAATCTGGGGGCTCCCTCCCCTCCACCACTCCACCCACCATTAGCATCACAATGACGTCCCTCCAGCTGGGGGAGTGAGGACTTCTCGTTACCTTGGCAACTGGTGGGGGCCCAGCCCGAGACATTCTTTCCCACGGCTGGCTGGACCAATGGGGTGGGCGAGGAGACAGGATAGGTGGAGGAAGAGGTGGGGCAGAGGGGGTACATGTGGGGAGACAGTGGCCCCCAGTGGGGTCCCAGACCGGTTGAGATTTCCTCTCCCTCCTCCCCCTCTCAGTGCTGGCATTGGCATTGGTTTCTATGGCAACAGCGAGACCAGTGATGGGGTGTCCCAGCTCAGCTCGGCACTGCTGCACGCCAACCACACGCTCAGCACCATTGACCACCTGGTGAGGGGGCCAGTGACTGGCCAGATCCCTGACTCACACCCAGACTGGTCCCCCCCACAGGAACATGGGACCCTGCACTCAGGGTCAGAGGGACCCAAACACAGACCCCTACCTGAGACTTGGGACTCGGGCTCAGACGGTACCGCAGACAGTGGGCCTCAGGCCATCGCTCAGCCCTCCCTTTGCAAACCTTGTGCCAGATCCAGAACTGGCCAGGACTAGACCCCAGATTCCCCAGATTCACGTCCTGTTCCAGGCCCAGGTCCAACTTGCAGCCCACACCAGAGGCCAAACCCTGGAGTCAGATCCAGGACCCCAGACCTGATCCTTGGCCCAAACGCAAGCCCAGGGACCCAGCCCTGCAGCCCCACCTCCAAACTTAAAGACAAGGGCACTTAGACTAGAGATCCCAGACTCAGGAAGGCAAATAAGGACCTCAGATCTAAGACCCCCAACTTCAGTCCAGTCCTGGGGCTGGGATTTACCCCAGCTCCAGTGACTGACCACCCAGAGCTCCCCTAAGCCACAGAAGCCCTCCCAGACCTCTGTGCTCAGTCCCCAGACCTCTGTGCTCAGTCCTCAGGTGCCCCAGACTCCTGCCACTGCTTTCTCCTGCCCACCCCCAGAGCCCCGCCCCTTGATCCAGCCCTGGAGGACTTCCTCCCCAGACCCGAGCCCCTCCCTCCCCAGGTGGTAGAGACAGTGGAGAGGCTGGGCGAGGCGGTGAGGACAGAGCTGACCACCCTAGAGGAGGTGCTGGCACAGCGCACAGAGCTGGTGGCGGCCACCCGGGGAGCTCGGTGGCAGGCGGAGGCTGTGGCCCAGCAATTGCAGGGGCTGGCCTTCTGGCAGGGAGTGCCCTTGAGCCCCCTGCAGGTGGCTGAAGATGTGTCCTTTGTGGAGGAGTACAGGTAAGAGGCAGGTCCCCGCTGTGCAGCAGTTCTCAAGCTGGGACCCCAGGGAACACCAGGCAGTTTCTGGAGACGTTTTGGGTTGTCACAACTGAGGGAAGGGGTGCTCCGGGCACCCAATGGGTGGAGGCCAGGGAGCTGTTCACCGTCCTACCAGGCACAGGCTCCCCAGAAACATCCAGCCCCAAATGTCAATTTGACAAGGCTGAGGAGCCTCAGTGCGTGGAGGGGATTGGGTGACTGGGTCCCACCCTTGCACTCACTATTCCCCCATGGGCCACCACCCCCAACCACATCGTCATTTATTCACTCTCCATAAGTCACTCTCGCAACCTGGTTAGGAGCCTACTCCCTCCGTCTCCATATGGCTCGGAGTTCAGTCAGCACGTTTCTTCAGCACCGTGATGAGGGAGGCGGCCACCCATGCCATCCCCAGGGCCACTCGCTTGCCCCTGTGCAGGGAACCTCCTGTGGCGCCCCCTCACCAGACTGAGTTAGTATCTGCTGGTGCTGGGGATGGTCACTGGCACATAGAGAGCACTGGCAGTGGGTCAGTACAGTGCCAACACCCCTGGAGCTGGACAGAACAGTCAGGAAGCCACAGGAAGGCCTGCCCTGTCCTCGTCTAGACCAGTAAGAAACCATCGCACAGGCCAAGCACTGTAAGGTGCTGGCTGGGGAGGGCTCTGAGAAAATTAGACGGGAAAGAGGTTGAGGTGGGGACAGGCTGGGGGTCAGCACCAGAGGGCCCGGGAAGGCCACGTGGAGTAGGTGATGCTGAGGAGGCAGGGACCAGCTGTGCAGACCCCGGGGGCAGCCGCCCTTCCCAGCAGCAAGGAGGATGAGTTCTGTTGCTTTGTTCACTAGGATTATCTCCTTCATTCAGGGGGAAGGGGCTGAGGTGGGAAGAGGCCCTGGGCTCCGGGTCCTGGGTGCAGACACGTGGGGGCGGAACAGGGTGAGCAGAGAATGCTGAGCAGCAGAGGGCAGGCGGCAGGCTGGCGTGGGCTGCAGACCAGGTTAGCATCTCGCCAGGCTCAGGGCCCGTGAGCTGGGCCTGGGCTGTTGGAGAGGGTAGCTGTGAGGACGTGGCTGGGATTGTTTCCAGGGAACATCTTGGGTTGGACCCTGGTGGAAGTACCAAAGTGCCCAGCATTTGAGAGTCCCTCGACAACAAGGCAGGCCCTGGAGGGAGAGTCAGGGGCAAGGGCTGGGAGGGCAGCCTGTGGCTCTGTGGGACGCGAGGAGGAAACCACTTAACCATCTGGTGCTTCCTGTGTGTGGCTTATCTGTGGCCTCCCAGGCCCCACCCAGGCAAGTCCCGTGAATTACTAATGTTTAGCGATCCTTGAACACACTGAGAGCTCCCTCCTCGGCACCCAGGCTACTATTCAGGTGGGTCCACGAGCATGTCCCTCTTAGACCAACCACCTTTGCAAGCCATGCCGTTGTCTCCCAGCACGGCAGGGAAGCTGAGGCCAGGAGGTTCAAGTCCCAGGACAGTTACACAGCCGGTTAGGAGGCGGGCCGGGGTTGAGGCCCAGGTAGCCCCCCATCTATGCACCACACCCCCAAGTTCTGTGGTGAGATCCTTGGTGCTGGTTCCGGTTCTGCAGGGCTGAGGATGCAGGCTCAGAAAAGCCAAATCAAGTCCAGAGTCACAGACCTTGAGTGTGGGCCAGTCAGGGTTGGGTGCCAGGTGTTCACACCCTGGGACCCACCGTGCTCCAGTGTCGTGTCTACCCCCTTCACAGATGAGCAGGTGGTGGCTCATGGGCACTGGGCAGCAGGGAGGGCACTTGGGCCTCCTCCCAGGCGGGGCCGGGCTGGGGTGCTGCGGGGATGCGGCGGGCCTCCCTGGGTCCACCGCCTCTGCCCTTCGGCCCCCAGGTGGCTGGCCTATGTCCTCCTGCTGCTCCTGGAGCTCCTCGTCTGCCTCTTCACCCTCGTGGGCCTGGCGAAGCAGAGCAAGTGGCTGGTGGTCGTGTGAGTTGGGCAGCCCCGGCTGCTGGCACTTCCCACAGTGGGCATGGGGGGTGCCCCGCATTTCCCTGGCCGTGGGAACTCAGTCTCACGGCTCTAATGCAAGGGACCAGGGTCCTTCCACAGCTAGACATGCAGACAGAGGTGACACCGAGAACAGCCTTGCCGTGTGCCACACCATCGGGCACCTTGATCACACCAACAGTACAGATGAGGGTGGCCACTGACTTCTATTGAGGGCCACACACTGAGTCCTCCCTGGCCACAGTGGCCCCAGGAAGGAGGTACCAGTGGGCTCCAGGAACCCGAGGCAGAAGGCTGCCAAGGGGAGCCGCAGCACCCTGCTCTTAGTGAACAACTACTCTTCCTGGCACTTCATGGAACCCTCGTCACTGAGGCAGGCTGTGCTCCTTGTTTAACCGGGGAGACTGAAGCTCAGAGAGGCTGGGCGGCTTGCTCAGAGCCACACAGCCAGGGTGTGCTACCGCTGGCCTTCAAACCCAGTCTGCCTGTCATTAGAAGGGCTCTTCATCCTCCCTGCCCCAGCAGGAGTGGGAGGGAGGCCGGGGCTGCAGCTGCTTTCTGTGTACCACCATGGCGGAGAGTCCTGCTACCCACTCAGGCCCCCACTGAGCTTGGAGATGGGTGAGACACGGTGAGGCAAGGCAGGCCTTCAGTTCCACACACTGTAGTGCTCTTGCTGCTGACCCTCCACTGACAGGCCTGAGCCCACTCAGGGACCAGCCAGGTTCACATTTCAATCCAGGAACAGTCTCCACTCCTCTGCAGAGACAGGGCTGAAGGGCAGCTGATGGGGCTGTGGGTGACCTGGGCACAGGCCTGGTCAGCAGGGATACTGGGCTTTGCAAAATTCAAAGCCCAGGCAGTTGAGCTCAAAAGTGAGCAGTGGCTTCCAGGGTCCCAGGTAAGGTAGGCAGAACCTCTAGGAGGCAGGTTGCTGACCCGCCAGCCCAGACTGCTGTCCGTCTCTACCACACTGGCAGGTGCCAGCTGTTAAATCTGACGTCAGCAAACACTGTCCCCACCACCCCTGCTCCTCCACCCCAGGATCCAGAGCCTGGTGGGGGAGGGGTGGCAGCGATGGGATTTGGTGTGGAGGGACGGGCAGGGTGGAGCGGTGGTGAACCCTGAAACCAACGCCCTTCCACACTAGGATGACTGCTATGAGCCTCCTGGTGCTTGTCCTAAGCTGGGGCTCCATGGGCCTCGAGGCAGCCACGGCTGTGGTGAGTTCTGGGGCTCTACGTTCAGTCCTGGGGCAGGGGAAGCTTAATGCATTCGGCCCGAGAGAGGGCGTGGGAGACACCATCACAGTTCTGAGATTTGGGGGTGGTTTCCAGGGTCCTGAGAGAATAGAATGAAAAGGTTAGGATCTGGACCCCGGGTCTGAGGGAGG